CTGCCCCAGGTCGAGGTCTTAGGACTCCAGCGCTAAGAAGAGCAGACAGCCTGCTGGCCCTGACAGAGGTGGGGCGGCTCCGGGCCAACGGCTGACCCCCGCTGGCCACACTCAGAGTGTCTTTCTGGGGGTTGACATTCTCGGGTTGGGAAAACTCAGATTTATTGATGAACCCTAGCTTTGACTTGACCCTGGGCGTATACTGGGTTCCCATCTCCCCCGGTTGTGTTTAATTTGGAAAGCAGCTAAGTTTTATTCCCACGGCTTTGGGGTCTGGATGCGTGGGGGGTGGGGTGGGGGGCAGGGTTCTGACTCCTTTCCAAATCTGTCAGATGTTCAGCAGCTTGGTTGTGTTGAACAGGAGAGGCGAGCCGTGGAGCGGAGGATGTCGGAGGTGGAGGAGGAGTTGAAGGTATGGGCCGTGCTTGCCGCGTGCTGCGCCCAGGCCTGCGGGCGGGCGGGCGGGCGGGGCGGCCCGGGAGGGGTGCGGGCGTGCCCAGGACGAGGCGAGCCTGTGCGCGGCCCCTACCCTGGCTCTCAGCTCGCCCGGCGCCCCGGGGCCCCTCACAGCCCCTCTGGGGACAGACGTGGCCTTTGGCGTAAGGGGATGCCGAGCAGCAGGCTGGAGGCAGACCTGAGCGGAACTCGCCAGGTTTTCTCAGCAGCAGCTTCACGCCGAGGGAGGGACGGGTGAAAGGGAAGCCGGGTCCTCAGCTCCTGGCCCCCCGGGGAGAGCCTGGGAAGCCGGAGCCAGGAAGGCACGCCGGTGGAGCAGCCAGCCCTCCATGTAGGGCAGGCTGGTTCTGCTCTTGGTCTCCTGCCCCCGCCCTTGCCCCTGGAATATTCAGCCACATCTCCCTCCCCGGGGACGGTCACCATCGGGCAGCGAGTCCTGGGAGCCGCACTCACGCCGCCCAGGGGAGGGGGAGAGGGAAGGGGCTGTGGGAGTGCATGGACCCGGGCCTCGGGGCTGCAGCGCATGGGGCCGGCCGTGGTGGCGGGGTGCCGCTTGGCTGCTTTCCTCTCTCGGTGGATCTTCACCCACGAAACACATGTCTCTGGCTCCTGGAAGTGTGAGCAGAGCCCTCAGGCCAGGAGCCCTCTGGGGGAGACGTTTATTGCTCCCATGGCCTGAGAAGGTTGGTTCTTTACTGAAAAAAGTTGCTCAGGGCTCAACAAGGTCAAATGCCCGGAATCCTGTTGGTCTGCGTGGCTGCTGCACGCGGGAGGGGCAAGCCCTGTGCGCGCTCCACGCTCCCCATCCCGGACGCACTGGGACGCCCGCATGCGGTGTCAGGCAGTGCCGCCTGCGTCTCAAGAACAGCCAGAAGCAAAAAGAGCTGGTGGTTTTGCTTCTCCAGCTGCTGGTTTCTCTAGACCCACCTCACCTGCCACTCAGAGCACATTCGCAGGCTGGACAGGTCTGAATGGCAGGTCCACGGCTTACGGTTGTGCAGGGGCTCCTCCATTTTTGAGGCCCTTGTGTTATACTATCTGTTGGCAACTAACAGGATGCTCATTAAGAAATGGCCCAAACGCTGATCCAGGAACGTGGATAAGGCCTGAGCTGTTGCCTTGTAGGGTCCTTAAGGGCCCAGGCCACCTCGTACCCTCCAGCCGGGAGGTGCTTTCTCATCCATTCAGCCCCACACGAGGGCCGGATTGCAAGCCGAGGGGGAGCAGCTTGGTTCCCCCCCACCCCCGATTCCCTCTCTGAGTACAGAGGCGCCAGGCACCGTTGGGGCCATGGGCTGGGGCAGGTGTGTCTTTCTCTCTGTCTCATCAGCCTCTCAGGCTGAGATTTCATGAACGAGGTCGTGAGTCCTTTTCTTTCCTCGATGGAGGTCAGGTACACGGAAGCTCGTGCCCCGCTCAGCCCCGGGTCGTGTGCTGGCCCACCTCAAATTCAGGCGGAGCCCGGCCATGACCGTCTAGGCCCCATACCAGTAGGTGTACTGGTTGAAAGCCAGTCTTCTTTTAGTTAAAAAATTTCTTCATGAGTCAGCTGCCCTTGTTCTGTGTTGCCAGTCGCAGACCCCTGGGGGAGGAGCTCCTGCCGGCTCAGCCCTGAGCACGTTCGCTCAGCTCGAAGCCCGGCCAGGTGAGCAGACAGCCCCGCTCCACCCAGGGACTGGGGGGGGTGGGGGGTGGGGTGGGCGTGGCAGCCGCCCGCCAGCCAACCTTAGGGTGTTTGCGCCTGGACCCTCTTTGGGGACAGAGACTTCAGACGTACAGACTCAAGCATCGTGAAACTGGTGTGCTGGCCTGCAGGAGGCTCAGGGGATGCTTGGTCAGCTTTCATCCCTTCACGCAGACGGCAGTCTGTGGGGACATGCGTGGATGCTCGGTAGCCAGCCGCAGCACAGGTGCTGGTCGCACCCGGGGCCCGGCTGAGCTGAGGGCGAGTGGAGCCGGTCCAGTTTGTACAGATGCTCAGCCCCTCCGGGCGTGGCCCGCAGGGAGCAGGGGCTGTGGCCTCCAGTGAGCCCTGAGGAGCTGGGCGCTCAGGGACAGAAAGGGACTCAGGCCTGTTCCCCGCCTCTGGGAACCGTAAGGTGGGCTCGCGCGCGGGGTGTGGTGCTCCGTGGTGGCGACGCAGGCTGCGCCTTTCTGGTCTTTACTTGGGAAGGTAGGTGTTTATGGACTCTCCCCAGGAGAAGCGCACGCGGGCTGGGCTGGAGCGGGGTCACGTGCCAGCCTTCGCCGGGTGTGCGGGTCAGCATGCCTGTGTCAGGCCGGGGAGCTTTCCCGTGGCGCCTCCTCCCCTTGCCCCAGGCCCGCGCGTGGGAGGAGCCTGGCGGCCAATCCCCCGCGAGATTGCTCTTGGATGTTTTGATTTCTTGTGCTGGCAGTCCGCCCGGCCACCCTGCTCTGTGCCCTCCCACCGCCTCCCCACCACGCCTTGTTCTCAGCCTCGCGCCTGCGGCAGCTTCCTGCCTTTATGGCCACATTCTTCCCCCTCCGCCTGCCTGTGCACAAGTTCACAGGAATCGTCCTCCTAGTTTAACGTTATTCCCCAGGAGGCAAGGACCGCTTCACGTAAGGACCGTGACTGCCTTGGAAGCTTCGGTCCAGTGTCAACCCCAAGAAGGGTGAGAGTCAGGGACTCTCCACTGGTTCTTAAATTTGGTCCCGCAGGCTGCACCGCGACCTTCTCTGTCCTCTCGCGGCCGCTCCAGGCTGCTCAGAGCTGTGTGGCTGCCCTCCCTTTTCCCAAGGTGGCGATGCTCCCTCTGTGGGGAAAGAGATGCAGCCGTTTGTCTCTGCGTGTTTTTCCTTTTCACTGTTTTCATCTTCATGCTGCCTTTCATTTTCTTGCTTCTTTCACTCCCAAACAGCTATAACTCCTCCCACCTTTCATTTCTGTCCTTCCTGCCCACGTGGGCAGGAGAGACTTCCTCTGGTGCCCGGCGACCTGTCTGTGGTCACCACAGCCCACAGGATCGTCATCTCCGTCTGTGAAGCCCCGTTCGCATGACAAGGCCGCGTCCTCTCTCCCAGAGCTGGTGGCCTCAGCTTCAGGGTCAGAGAACTCTTAGGAAGGACTAGTGACAGGAAGTAGGCCTGGAGAGGACTCCGTTCATTGCCGGCTTTAGATCCTTCGTGGGACACAGGGATTGGGAAGCATGGCTTTGGGCGGGTTGTTCTGTTCCATTTGCAACACATGCTAACAGCTGGACTGGCAAGGGTATCGGTCACCGGTCCATTTTCGTTGGACACGATGCCCCTCCACCTTTGTGCAGAGCTGTGATTCCACGCAGGAGGCTGTCTGTGGCAGCTTTAAGTAGCTCCCAGCCTCTTTGTGACCCAGGCAGAGAGAGTGTAGTCTGCCACGGGTTCCCTGGTGCACACCCTCCCGGAGCAGGTGGGGGCAGGTGGGCAGTTCCTGATCCTGGAACAGGCGTCCGGGCAGCAGAGGAGACCTGGCGATGATGCTTCCAGGAAAGGTAGAGGGCCTTCTGTAGGTGCGCCTCCCACAGAGAACGCCTCAACAGCAGGCCCTCTCTTCTTTGCCGCGTTCCATTTTTTTAAATGAGAAATAAATGAGGTAATAGAAAGACACAGAAAGAAAACAGGTGGGAGCAGGGGGCCAAGTATGGGGGGGCGGGTAGAGGAGCGGAGAGCGGGGCAGCAGCTGGACGTGGGGGAAGCTCCGGGCGCCCTGCCCTGGGCCGCCGCCGCCCCGCCCCCCCACCATTCCTCTGGCCTCTCTCCTTTCCTGTCTTGCATGCGAACTGAAAACAAAAGCAAAACGTCAACAAAATGTCAACGTGATTTCTTTGTCCCACTTTTCTCTCCTCTGGTCCGTCTTGTCTCTGTCTGCCTGTCCGTCCCTCGTGTCTCACTCTCTGCAGAACCTCCACCAGCTAAAACAGATTCAGACCTTGAAGCAGATGAACGAGCAGCTGCAGGCTGAGAACAGGGCCCTGACCCGGGTTGTGGCCAGACTCTCGGAGGCCATCGAGGGCTCGGACCCTCAGGGGCTCTAGGCCTGCCCCCTCCTCCCCTCCAGGCACGTTCCCTCTTGTTGCTGGTCCTGGGCTCCGCGCTCGCCTCCCAGAGCCTGCACACGGGTTCCCGTGAAGGTTGGTGGTCTGCAGACGCGGCACGGGCCGGGGCGACCCAGGGCGCCTGGGCTGCCGTTGGTTTGGTGAGACTCTTCCCCTAGAGACGGAGCGCGGGTCACTCAGCCAGACGGGTCCACGCCTACTTGCGTGTGGACGCGCACACGTTTCTTGGGGGAGGTCAGGGTCTCAGTCAACAGCAATCCAAGTGCAACCTGGTCCCTGGAGCAGTCGGGTTGCGCCTGGGGTGACGGTGACCGAGGGCAGGGGCCACACGTTCCAGACACCTGGGGGCTTGAGCACATTTGTGCCAGGCACCCCTCAGAGGCAAAGGCCCGGGTGTCTGTTCAGAGCTCCCCTGCTGGTTCTGTTGTGCAGCTGGGCTGAGAACCGCGGCCCCAGGACCTGACAAGAACGAGCGCTGGGGGGGCACTGACCCCGCCCCGCTCCGCCCCCCCCCCCCCCCCCCTCGGAGCAGGTGGGGGCAGGTGGGCAGTTCCTGATCCTGGAACAGGCGTCCGGGCAGCAGAGGAGACCTGGCGATGATGCTTCCAGGAAAGGTAGAGGGCCTTCTGTAGGTGCGCCTCCCACAGAGAACGCCTCAACAGCAGGCCCTCTCTTCTTTGCCGCGTTCCATTTTTTTAAATGAGAAATAAATGAGGTAATAGAAAGACACAGAAAGAAAACAGGTGGGAGCAGGGGGCCAAGTATGGGGGGGCGGGGTAGAGGAGCGGAGAGCGGGGCAGCAGCTGGACGTGGGGGAAGCTCCGGGCGCCCTGCCCTGGGCCGCCGCCGCCCCGCCCCCCCACCATTCCTCTGGCCTCTCTCCTTTCCTGTCTTGCATGCGAACTGAAAACAAAAGCAAAACGTCAACAAAATGTCAACGTGATTTCTTTGTCCCACTTTTCTCTCCTCTGGTCCGTCTTGTCTCTGTCTGCCTGTCCGTCCCTCGTGTCTCACTCTCTGCAGAACCTCCACCAGCTAAAACAGATTCAGACCTTGAAGCAGATGAACGAGCAGCTGCAGGCTGAGAACAGGGCCCTGACCCGGGTTGTGGCCAGACTCTCGGAGGCCATCGAGGGCTCGGACCCTCAGGGGCTCTAGGCCTGCCCCCTCCTCCCCTCCAGGCACGTTCCCTCTTGTTGCTGGTCCTGGGCTCCGCGCTCGCCTCCCAGAGCCTGCACACGGGTTCCCGTGAAGGTTGGTGGTCTGCAGACGCGGCACGGGCCGGGGCGACCCAGGGCGCCTGGGCTGCCGTTGGTTTGGTGAGACTCTTCCCCTAGAGACGGAGCGCGGGTCACTCAGCCAGACGGGTCCACGCCTACTTGCGTGTGGACGCGCACACGTTTCTTGGGGGAGGTCAGGGTCTCAGTCAACAGCAATCCAAGTGCAACCTGGTCCCTGGAGCAGTCGGGTTGCGCCTGGGGTGACGGTGACCGAGGGCAGGGGCCACACGTTCCAGACACCTGGGGGCTTGAGCACATTTGTGCCAGGCACCCCTCAGAGGCAAAGGCCCGGGTGTCTGTTCAGAGCTCCCCTGCTGGTTCTGTTGTGCAGCTGGGCTGAGAACCGCGGCCCCAGGACCTGACAAGAACGAGCGCTGGGGGGGCACTGACCCCGCCCCGCTCCGCCCCCCCCCCCCCCCCCCTCCGGTCGCCCCCTGCCACTCGTGCCCTTACTCTGGCCTCTCCCCCCCCCGCTGGGGCTTTCCGTCCCTCCCCCTTCTTGGCGGGTGTTGCCCTCCTCGTCGTCACAGATCTGGGCCTGGGGATGTGCCCTCCCACGGCCAAACCCCCAGCCCCGCTGCCAGCAGGGGGCTTGCCGAGGAGGTGGCAGGGGAGCGGCGGCTCATCTTCACTGGAGAACCAGGAAATGCATCTTCTGCACTTGATACCTGTCCCTGGATGTGGGTCTGCAGACAGGCTCGCAGACGGCTCATTTTCCCACCGTGGCGGCGTGAGGGGTCCTCACTGCTGAGCGGTCTCACTCTCTGAAATGAGTTTTTAATTTGTAGCAACAATCTAATTAGTCCTGACCCAGGCCTGTTCTTCTTTCTGCCTGTTTGCTGTGTCTTCGGGGTCAGTAGCTGGCAACTAGCACCCACTAGATCTGAAGCACCCGAATTACTGTCGGGTGGAGCTGATACCCCGCTGGAGACGCTGTGACACGGAAACTTGAGAGGGAGGTGGCCCGCGGCCCCGAGCAGCCTGCCGGCCCTCCTCGTAACAGCGCGTCAGGGCCAATCTTCACGCTAGGAGATGAGCCAGCTTTGACCTGGGGTGGACGGGGGCCCCCGGAAGATGGCCCGGTTTGCTCGGTTTCCTCCTGGTGGGGCGAGCGTGAGATCAGGAGGGCTGGTGACCCTGGAGGCGGCTGTCGTCTGAGGGCCTGTGCTGAGCCCTGTACTCGCCCTTTCTCAGTTATTCCCCATAACAGTCACTTCTCCTATGGGAAAAACCAAGTCACAGAAGTAACTTGCCCGAGGTCACTCGGAGGGTACGGGGCGGGCAGGCCAAGGACGTCAGGCTCCGGGCCGGCCGCGCACCCACCGCCTGGCAGCCCTGGCATGGGGGGAGGGGGCAGCCTGCGGCCCCTCAGTGCCGACTCCCCAGCAGGGCCACGCAGAGAGGCCCGCCCGGGTCACGGAGAAACCCACAGAAGATGCGTGGGGATTCTGTGGGGTCAGGTTCCAGCATCCACAAGCGCCGTCTTCCCGGAGCCGGGCCGTTGTGTGCGCATTGCCGTGTCTGTGGGCCCTTGAGAGGCGGGCGTTGCTCAGAGACCACGCGGCTTCGGACCCGGGCCTTCGCCACCCAGCCCTTTCCGGGAGGAGCCTGCCGTCCCCACCGACGGGCGCTCGGGAGGGCCGGCCTGCCCCCGGTTTGGGGGTCTCCCGGGGCCGCTGCAGCGTCGGGACCCCACGCCCGCACGCTCCTCACCCCAGGTTGGAAGAGGTGACGCTGGAGAAGGGGTTCTGTCTGTCCTTCATGCCCAGCTGAGGCAGACCGGGCGCTTGGAAGCGAGGAGGCCGCGCCAGCTCGTCGTGCGCGGCGCCTCCACGGTGTCCGCGTGATCGTCCCGGGCTTCACGTGGGGCTCCGAGAACCCCCTCCGCGCCCTCCCTCCCTCCTGAGCCCGCCTTCCTCAGGCTTCCTCCGCGCCCCTCTCCTTCCTGGCGCTCCCTGCAGCTGCCGCGGGAGCTCGGGCGGCTGGGAAAGTGCCTTGGCCAAGTTTTCCCCAAAGAGTCGAGTCTCAACGTGGACATAAATCTCCAAGGCTCGAGGGTGCGTTTGTACGTTTTTAAAGGGGAGCGGTTCACATCCGACCTGACGAGCTGCCAGCGGTGACACACGGCCTGTCCCCACATAGACATCCTTCCCACCCAGGGCTCCCGCCATGGGAACACGGCCTGAGAGTCTTCTCGCTGGCGCCCAGGCTGCCGGCCCCGCGGTGCCCTGGGAGGGCACATGGCAGGGGAAGAGGAGGGAGGCCACGCCGGCGAGCTGTTGCGAGCCTCTTGGCTCGAGTGTCTGGGCAGTTGAGGCCGAGGGGTGGAGGCAGGAGAGGGAGGCCAGCCAGGCTCCGACGGTGTCAGGTCAGAGGTCAGAGGACAGGCCTGCTCTGGTATTTCCTGGATTAACGCCCTCTAACACTGCATGCGGTCACAGCTGTGGCCCCCATGGAGCCCCTGCTTTGTGAGGGACGAGGGCGGGGATGGGCTTCTTTAGATACAAAACGGAAAGCCAGAGAGGAGAGCGGTGTGCCTCAAGCGGCACAGCTCACGGACGGTGAGTTCCGGCTTCTGGACCCGCGACCGCGTCTGCAGGGAGGGGGTGAGCTCTGGAGTCAGTGTCTGCTTTCCCGTGAAGAGCTGTGCCGTGCTGCGCTAGCGATGCTGGACTCGGGCCCCCGTCTGTGGACCTGAGGATGGCTGCGTCACAGACCCTGAGGCCGTCCTGATGCTCCGGATGTTCTCTGTTCCCTCGATACCAGTGCCTCGTGTGTCTGTGGTCCGTGCCCACGAGGTTGGGTCTCCCTCTGCGACTTAACCTGCATCTTCCGTTAGAGGCTGAGGGAACAGCTCCATTCATCACGCGGATCTGACTGACCCCTGGGCGCCAACAGCAGAGCCAGAACTGGCATTATCCCTGGGAACGCGGAGGGGCCTGTAGGCTTGAATGACCGACCAGAGGACGCTCGCCCCAGACAGACGTGGGTGTGGACTTTTGTCGCCTTCACGGGAGGAAGCGCTTTCCCTCTGACCTGTGACTCTCTGCCGCCGGCAAGGCTCGCACACCAGCCGCGCCCTCATCGGACCCGTCGGGGCTGTCACATGCCCCACACTTGTCCAGCCTGGGCTCGGGGCCGCTGCTCCCTCACTTCACGAGTTGCGCGACACAGTGTGGTGGTCCGGGGAGGCCGGGCTGGGAGAACAGACGTCTCCACCCCCATCTCCCACAGCAGGGCCCCAGCCCCCTTTGGGCATGCTCGGGCTCCTGGGTGTTGGGGGTTGACTGTGGACATGTGTGCTACGGCCAGCGGGGACCTCAGCGGGTTCCGGCACACGGCACCACAAGCAAGACCCTAAGTTGTCTTGGGGGTGTGATGGGAGAGCCGAGCTGTGCCCCCCACCATGCGTTGCCGCCTTCCTTCCCTTTACGCCATCACCTCTTTTGACCCTTCCCTGTGTCCCCAGCACACATGGTGCTGCCCTGGTTTCTCTGAACCAGAGGCGAGTTCCGGGGAGGAAACCCTGGAATAGTTACTCGTTCAGGAGGAGAGGGTGGCGCGCGGGGAAGGGGCTGTTCCTGCCGTGTGCGCGGAGGGGCTGTGGCCCCGCGCGGTACCGTCACCAGCCCGTGAACAGGAGAAGGGCACTTGGTCACCGTCACCGGCCGGACTGACTCACCTTTCCCTTCCGCCCGCAGGTCCTGACGGAACTGAAATCCGACAACCAGAGGCTGAAGGATGAGAACGGCGCCCTCATCAGGGTCATCAGCAAGCTGTCCAAGTAGGCCAGGCGCTGGCTTCCCGGGAAGGCGCCGGGCCCCGCCTCTCCCCCGCCGGCGCCCACCAGCCAAGAGGAGCCGGAAGGACCTTTCGCTGGCCGTCGTCCGGTTGCCGCCTCTGCACCCTCCGTGTCCCCTCCTCCGGCCCCCACCGCTGCGTTTCAGACAGTTTTCGTCGAAGCACGACTGTGATCCCTCAACCGATAGAGCCGTCTGGTGGAGGCCTCGGGGTCGCCAGGCCAGCCGTGGACCTGGCCTCCGGCTGCCGGGCCACTGGTCCACGTGGCACTTGGTCCAGGCCCCAGCCCTGCTGCCACCGCCATGCGCTCTGATGTGGGACACACATGGGGGAGGCCTCTGGAGCTGCCGCCACTAGATCCAAGTTGACAGTGACTCCACGTCGGGGCCCCTGCTTGTCCTTGCCTCTCAGGAACTGACTTTTCTCTAACTCGCGCCGGTGGTGGTGGAATTTTTTCTACCAGCAACCTAGTGGCACCTGACTGGTCTTAACGCCTGTTCCCTCCGTGTCTGGCCCTCTCCCCAGGGCTCAGGTGACCGGGCTTGCCTCTTCCCTTTCTGCCCTTTTACTTTCTTTCCTCCGTCCGCCCCGCGGCACGTGCCCTGGGGGGTGGGCGCTGGGACAGAGCACCGACCCCAGCGGTGTGTCCGGGCAGCGGTACTGCCAGCCCCTCCCTGGCGAGGCCGGGCTCAGCTCCCCACCGTCCTCCCCACGCAGCGTTTCTCTGCTAGAACCCCCACCTGCCCCACCTCCCTTTGACCTCGTCTCCTCTCCTGAAGAGAAGTGGTGCCGCTGTGAGGAGGAGTGGGGGGCGTCTGAGGCCCCCCCGCCTCATGCCTTGTGCTGTGAGCGTGGTGGGCTTGATGGCGTCGGGGGCGTGTCCGGGGAGAGACGATTGTTTGCTCGGAAGCCAGCAGGAGGAACGAGTCTGGACTCGGAGTGGCGAGACCCGGTGGCCGAGGCTGTGTCCCAGGGACCCCACCCCGCGGTCAGGGAACCTCTAGCGGCTGCGCCTTGATCGCTTGAAAGCTGGGCGGCTTGGATGAGAGTTGAGGCCTTCCTGAGGGTCCCCCGGTAACGTGACAGCCCTGCCGTACCTGCGGCCGGGGACCCCCAAGGTGCTGACGCTCCCCTGGGCCTGGAAGTCGGTCCCCACGTGCCCTGCTTTTCCCACCTGCCCCGTCTTGGCTATCCTTCTCTGGATGAAAACCTGGACAGGTGGCTCCCTTGGTCCAGCACAGAATTAGGTCATGAGTTATTGATGAGTCCCCAGTATTAACACTTAAGTGTTTGCTTTTTGTAGGCGCTTTATCCCTCGGCTGGTTTGAGTGTGCAGGTCACTCTGGGGTTGCCAGAGACAGTTTGTGTGTAGCGGTCCGTTCTCAACATACGCTACCTCTGTCTAGTTTCTCTCTCTTTCCAGCCCCTTCCATGGCCCTCAGAAACGCCACATGCTCTTTAACCCAGAGCCATGATCAAGGTCCCAGTTCGGGATAGGAGATTTGTCTCCTGGGGCAAAACGCCTTTCTCAGAGTGTGCAAACTCTTCCATGTCTGGCCGTTTCCTGCGAGGAGCGACGCCTGGGGGGGCGGGGAGTGATTTGTGTCGTCGGGGCCGGG